AGGGGCCTTGGAATAAAATCAACCCTGCTGTCTCCCTGGATGTGTGTGAGGGCTTCTGCAGGCCTGTTACTAGTTTCCTGCCTTTGCAATTATACTTTTGAAAATTTGCATCTGGAACTGGCCACTTAACTTTGGAATGGAATGTTTTTTGTTTCTTTGTGCTGCCCGTTTACGAGTGTTTATTCATTTGCTCAGCCACAGTGAACATCCATGGAGCAATGACTCTGGAGAGTCTTGCTAAGGTTAGAGGTGAGGCCTTGGGCCCATCTGGGGTGGACTTTCCTTACTGAGCAGTTCCTTGATGAGAAGCATAGAATCTCATGCCAAAGAACGGAACAGGCCTGTTGGTTTGGGGGACTCCTTGGCTGCCGCACAGTATCGGGCGAGACCTCTGTCCCAAGAACTTGCCCCCAGAGCTCTGGCTGATGATCCTTGCTCTCTGTTGCCACTAACATTCCATTCTGAAGGGGCAGCTCCCTTAGCTAAGCTCAGGGGAACAGCGCCGTGAGAAGAGGGCAGGCAGGGGAGGAAAGGGAAGACAGCTGGTAAGACTGCATAGGCCAAATGAGGCCGGTCTTTTAAAATGTTTAGAACTTCTTGTGCTTTCATGTGCTGGGTGGAGCCTGACCGTTAGGGTGCATTTACTGTACTCCCAGTGCGGCTAGTCTGTGTCTCAGTGCTCGCTGTCCATGCATTTGAGACCGAGGAGAGCCTTGCTGAGGGCAGAGGTAAAGTGTAAAGGCTGTCCTGGCGCCTACCTCACAGTATTCATTCATGAAACATTTATTGGTATATATATTATATACCAATAAATGTTTCACTTTGCTTATATTTGGGCTCTGACCTTTGGCATATATATAAGGTCAGAGCCCAAATATAAGCAAAGTGAAAACCCGACCCTGAAAATCCACTTATTCCAAAGTAAGCAGGCAGTCGGAGATGCACATTTTTCCAAAGTAAGCAGGCAGTAGGAGATGCACATTTTCACATGTGCTGCAAACTGGTAAATAGGACTGTAGAACCCTCACTCACATCCAAGGCCTGAAAGGCTCAGAGTGTATGAAGATTGGGTGAGGATCTTTCTTTGGAAAGAACTATGCAACAATTCCCACCACTTCTCATGAGAGAAGTTTATAGGACCACTTGGAGAGCTGGAACAGGCGTCTGACTCTTGCCTGGAGAATCCAAGGTGGGCTGACAAGATGCTTCTCCTCAGCGTGCTCCAATCTTGTGTTTCCTGTAAGGCCAGTTAGACTCGTACTCCTGTTAGGAAGACTTCTCTGACTTTTCCCAGCCCTCAAACATTTCCACTCTTTGAATTTCTGCAGTATTTGATCCCCAATGATCAGAGGGTTTTGTCTCATTCTCTACTTGTATCATTGGTCAGTGTTGAATCCTCCATGATGCCTGCCCACAGGTGCCATAACCTAAATGTCTGTATGTGCTCAAAATTCCGTCTTACTATGACAACAGATCTGCTGTAGATGAAATACATTGGGTGATGGGGAGCAGTGCTCATTGGCCTGTGCTTCCCATGTTCTGTTCTGTGTTCTGGAAGCAGTGACATAGTCATAGGCACAGCCTTATTTATTCAAGAGGCTTGAAGCCGCATCCATGGAGGAGTTCAGAGGGCATGAGGTGCTGTGTGGTTAGGGTCATCTTTTTTGGGAGTGTTGGTCTGGAGAGACCTCTTGCAGAATGTATTTGTTTTGCCATATTGGGATAATTGAGTGTTTATACAGCTTTTGGTTAAAATTCCATCTCTGTTGCAGAGAGAATATTGTCTGAGAAAACAATCCAGTGCTTAGAAGAGAAAGGTGGATGCTGGCAGGGAGAGAAGGGTTTTCATTTTAGTTCCTTACAATTGTTGGATGCCTTCCTCAGTGCTTTGGGTTTTAAGTGTGATATTCTTCCTAACTCAGAAGAAAAGATCCTGAAGCCTGTCTGGGGTGTGCATTAGTGCCCTGGTGTTGCCGAGGTTTTGGTTGAAGTATCCCGTGTGCCACGATGGAAGGATTAGCTAGTGGGGGGACATTGGTATTTTCTCTGCTCCTCTAATGTGGTGATTCAGAGGGACTTATTTCAAACCACTGCCTTTGAATCCTGTGGTATGGTGTCTCCAATGCTAGTGTATTCTTGTGATTTGGGAAAGTGTACATGTGGGTTCAGCTTCCATTTGCTTTTGCAAGTTAGTGTTCCTTAGTGGCCATGGGTAACAGCTACTTTCTGTCCTGGATAAGGGTAGCCCATGTTACATTATTTTTGAGAGTTACATTATTTTGAAAGGGAAAATGGATTAAGAAACTGCTGGATCCATCTTTCAGATGAGAGGGCAATGAGACTGTGCATCTCTGCACCTTGCCGATGGACTCAATGTCACATGATCCCTGCAGCTCAGTGATGGAGCTATGTTTCAGTGGCTTATTTTGGAATAAACTACTATTTCTGCTCAATGGGTAGACGATCTATTACTAATTTAATGATCCCATCTACAGTTCTTTTTCTGAAGTTACTATTCCATAGGTTTCCAGAACTCCTTTACCCTTGAGTCCATCTCTGGCCTGGAGTTACATCCATGGACCACCCAGCTTTCACACACCCAGAGCCCCAGTGCCAGGAAGACATTCATTTCACAGCTACTACTGTCCCCTGGGAATTTTTAGGATTATTTGCTTTATTTATTTAATCTTCAAATAAGTTTGCATACTTCTCACTGTCATGCTAAACAAGACAAAACAGCCAAAACCAAACACACAAAACACTGGCACAACACCTGTGAACACTTCCATGACTGCAAACAAAAGTCTTAGCGGCGATTGCCTGAGACGTGTTCTGTGACTGAAAAAATGCTTTGCGTGGGTCCACCTTGGTGGGCCATGAAGCTGGTGGGTTATCCAGACTTCAGCTTATCTTTTCTCCCCCTCCTGCTGCATGGATTTGGCCTCTTTCCTTGGTCATTAACACTTTGCCCAGAGGGTAGAAGGAATTGAACTCACAGGATGATTTCCATTTTCTAGCTACAGTTGGTAGAGAATCATGAGCCCATGGCAGTTTGGGGATATCTATCTTATTTCTACTTGGATTCATCAAAAGGTGGTTTTGATGTGAATAGGGGCTGCTTTATAAACCAGTGCAACTCTGAGAAGTGTATTCCCTGCTCCAGCTTCCTCTATTTCAGATTCTCAAACTTTAGTATGCAAAATCTTCAGCCTAGAGGATGCCTGGGTCTGCTCCCTTGGATTCAATTTCCAGAGGATCTGGACTAAGATTTTGCATATATCCTATTGCCCTCAGGTCTTCTGATTAAGATTAACTAGGGACTAATTTTGAGAAATACTGTCCCTGAGTTTGCACTTTGCTGTTTGGGTACCTGCCTAGCCTTTTCTGTGGCTAAGCAGTGAACAAGGTGTAATTACAGTGGGTATGGTTTCCAAGGTAACATGCATTCTGCCACTCCTGCTGAAGCTGGGAAGATTGAAAGGGACCACAGGCAAAGCACCGTTAAAGGTGGCCTCCAGATTAATGTCATCAACGTGCTTTACGATGCCTAGGTTCCTTAAAGGCCTGCTTAATAGCAGCAGCAATAGGGAAAGTCAACCAGTTAAAAGCCAGAGTTGCTGGGCAGCGTTTGGAGGCAGTGACAGAGGGATGAGTGCAGCCATTCAGTGGCTTGTGTCTTTCCCCCTCTATCTCTTCAAATCACTTAAGTTCAGAATGATAAGGATGGTGGAGGAACATGAGATGACCTTGAAAGGCTTTTGAAAAATAAAGGTCAGTCATGGTAAACATTTGGCCTGTATTCCTTAGTTCTCAAATGGATGGTCCTGTTAAAGTTCTGCCGTTCCCACTTTCAGTCAGGTGAGGCATGGAGTTACATTTATTGAGTGAGTGTATGCTATGGGCTGGTAACTTGCACATAGATTTTCTTGCCTTTTTGACCCAAATGCAAAGGTTCTACACTTTGTACATTTTCCAGGTTTAAGGATGAAAAAGTGAAGTCTGGATCATATTTTTAGCGCAGGACCCCCCCTTTTTGGTTTTTGTATTAAAGCTGTAGGGCAGTAGAAAAAGCATTCAGCTGCCAGTCAGGTTTCTGGGGTCTGGTTCTGAATTTCACCATAAACAGACTTTTAGCTGAAGGCAAGTGTCCAACTAACTTCTGTGAGGCTCCATTCCTACCTCTGGAAAATGAGGGACTTAGGCTAGCCCAATAGTCTTAACTTTTGAAGAGTGACAACCCCCTTGCAGAATCTGATGAAAACTAGGAACTTTCTTCCTGGCAAAAAATACATATATATTTACTCAAAAAAATGGCATTCCCTGTCCAGGGGACCACAGATCCCCTCCTAAATAAGATAATTTCTTAAGACTTTTCCAGCTCCAACTCATAATTACTGGGTCCCCCAAGGACGTGCATAGGGGAGTCTTTCATTGCTTAGAGTGGCTTAACTGAGGAATGAAGTATTTGATGGAGGAGGTTTTATTGTTGCTAGCATTTTTTTACTAACTGCCCTGCACATTTAGGAGGAAAAAAAAAAATCCGCACTGAGAAAAACAAATAGGGAATGAATGGCATCTAGAATATGAACTGTTTCCCTATCATTTTTCACTCCTGTGGCCTTTCAAAAGGAGGTGGATGGTGTGATTATAACAGGAGGGATGTGTTAGAAGAATTAGTTCAGCAAGCAGATACTATATTGTGTACAATGACAGCTAAGTAGTTACTTGTTCTACTGTTAGATGTTTGGGATGTTGGGATAAAAGAAGTTTTAGTTAACCTGAAAATGCCAAAAGGCTCTAGGGGAGTGTATTATGAGCGGAAATAACCTATGTTATTTACCACTTCTTAGCTCTCAACTCTGACCACCTTACTCACCTTACTAACTGAACCCCCATTTGCTACTCATAGCCCCAAAGTGTAATCCAATCAGGAGGGAATATCTGTGTTTATTTGGAAATCTAGATAATTAGTTTCTTTTGTTCTTTCTTTCTCGGCTTAGGTGTTGAAAAATCTCCTTTAGAGCTTTGGAAGGCTGAATGGACTAAACATGAAGAGCTTGAAAGCCAAGTTCAGGAAGAGTGATGTAAGTACGGGATGACCCCCGGTTGGCCTGCCCCAGAGGTGTTCCTGCCGCGGCAGGGACCGCCTCCACTCCTGCCTTGATAAGGCACTGGGTTAATTAACTGCAGAGACCAGAAGTATTCTAGGCCCGAGCTCAGGGAGGCTTCTCTGAATGGTGTACTCTGGGTTCCTTGATGTTTGTGTGTATGGCTTTATAAATGACATTTAAAAAAGTTTCCAGGGTCTCTGCCTTGTAGAGAAAGGAACAATCAAATTAAAATCTTAAAAGCATCAGTAAAAACCTCAGCATTTGAAAGTCCCCAAAATGTGCTTCAGATTGTCATTTTAAGAAGAAGCTAGTTTTATGACCATGGTTAAGGAATTATGTAGTAGCATGGTTTGTCTTTGGCTTTAGGAAACCTTCTAACTCCCCGTTAAGGCTATTGTAAAAATATCCTTTGCTGCAGGTATCTTTACGTGCCCTGAATTCCTGGGGTTCTTACTCATTTGTTATCTGTCATAAAGACTTTGAATTGGAAGAACCAGTTATGATGTCAGAATTATGAACAGTCTCCCAGAGGAGAATATGGAGAAAAATAGCATTGGGTTTATATACAATGATATTTTAACAAAAGGTCACCTTACAAACTGTGCTGGAATTCCAGTCTTGTGCTAATGCATTCTAGATGCTTTAAGCAGAATTATTGAATGGGAGAGATTCATGGAAGGGAATTAGGTGGAAGCTTAGATATGTCACCCTCATCATGGGCTTGCTTGCCCATCACTTAATATTAGGTTATTAAAGGTGAATCTGGATTTCCTTGCTTTGACATAAATTATACGACAGCTTGGCACATTTATTGTGTTTTTGCAATAAATGGAGGCTGCGTCTTTTTGGCTAACATGTTGCGCAAGCATCCTTTTGGCTGAAGCTTATCTCCCAAGGCTGTATCATGATGTATAACCTACTGCCCTGATAAGGCCCAGACCAGACGAGATGCTTGTGGGATGATTGCAGAATCTTGTCTCACTTAGAGGTAGTTAGAGCCAGGAAGGGTTTTTAGGAAAAAGTTGGTCTTACCTTCTCATTCTTCAGGTAAGTTAACTGAAACTCAGAGAATGTGAAGTGACTTGGTCAAAGTCATCCAGCTAGCCTTTGGCCAGTGAGAACAGAGGTCATCTGACTTCCTTAGTCCTTTGCCCCTGCCACTGCCCTGAGGAAACGCCTTCACCCTCCTCATCCGCTGGCTACATGATAGTACAGCCTATGGATCTCATTTTGCTTTCAGCTAAGAAGGAAAAGGCATTTAAATGGAGACTGTTGTCCTGTTGTGTTGATGTGGGTTTGTAAACTGTGTGGCCAGGTCAACAAATGTCTTTCCCATTCTAAGGGAATTTGGATAGCTTCCATTTATGTAAGTTGAGATTATTTCAGCTAAATTTAATCAGCCTGGAGCTCCATGATACATGAACAGGGGTAGGGGACATGATAGGTGCAGAGCTTTCTTGGTTTCAAAAGTAAAGTCATGTGGCAATAGGGAGGGCGTTGCTGGAATCTCATTTTTATATAAAATCTGAAATATTTCCATGATTTAAAAAGTTACAGCAATAACACTATTAAAAGCTTCTGGGATTTGGCAGCAGAAAGGCTGTGATTTTGGAAATTAGTCTATGAGAAGAAATGTTAAAGGAGCAAGCTTTGCATAGGAAAGCAAAGGAAATAGGTATAATGGGGCCAGACAGTAGCAAATGGCTCCCCAAATTCATTCCAATTGCTTTCCATAGCCAGACCACTGTACTGCTAAAGGAAGGGAATATAAACAAAAAAGAAAACCATTTCAAACCCCATATTTTAAATCAGGTCTATTATAATAATGACTATTATGAAGTATTTATTGTATGTCATGTGCTATGCTAAGCTTAGCATGTGAAATTCATGTAATTTTGCCATGAACCTATGTGGTAGGTTTTATTGTGAGGCTCATTTTACAGATAAAGAAACTGAGACCTAGAAAGGTTACAGTGACATGTCTGGTTTTTAGAGCTCTAAGTTGTACAACCAGTTTTTGGGCCAAAGTAGCCCAATTCCAGAACCTAGATTTCCTGAAAGAGGAAATTTGGATGGAGATTTGATTTTGTGAAACAGAGCAGTCCAGGCAGTAGCTTGGAGAAGCAACTTTGGACCAAGATTTGTGACCTTGGGCAAGTCTCTTACCTTTCTTGGACCTCAGATTCCTCACCTGGAAGGTGGAGAAAATAGTATTGGCTTCACAAAGTTGTGAAGATTTAATGGGCTCATGTATGAAGAACACATATCTTAGGGACTGGCACTCAGGAGATTCTTGGTAAATATTCAGTCCTTTCTTTTACTCAGAAACCCATGACACCAAGTAGAATTTGAAAAGTGTATATGGTTGGAGGGCAGAATAGTCTGGTAACAGCTTCTGCCTCTGAGGAGGGAAGCTGGGAGCAGGTGGGGGAGGGAGGCTTGCTTGTCAGTGAATGCCTTGCAGGTTGCATTTTTTTGTGTGTATATGCACGTACCTGTATCACTTGTTAGAAGAAAGGCAAGTTTTAAACTGTTTATATATATTCAGTTAAATGAGCCAAACTATCATCTTCTTTACCTGACGTGAGTGGTCTCTCCCAAAGAACAACCCTAAACACTCAGCCACCAAATTTTCCTGCTTGTCTTTGTGGGAGGCTGAAAGGAGACGGCAGAAGAAAGGGTTCTTTGTGTTTCTGGGGGGGTAGGAAGAAGAGGGACAGCAGATCGTGTTCGTGCTTTCTTAAAGAGAAGGCAGGTGACCCTTTGGTGTGCTCACATTTCAGGCAGCCTGCATCTTGGGAGGTCTGCAGCCGGACCAGTTTGTAGCTATTGACAGCAAAACCCAGAGTGAAAAAGGGGAAGAGTGGCCCAAAGGATCCCCCCGTGGATGGCCTTGAGGTCATTCTGCTATTCTAAGACCATCATGTGGGTAGAGATTGACTCCAAGTGTCTTTTCTGGAACACTTGACTCAGATGGCTACCGAGGCAGGACAGATTTATGTGGTGCAGTAGGGGAATAAGCCTAATTCTCTGGGCTCTGGTTAGATTCTCTCATTACCTCCTTGAACTAATCCCTGAACATTTTTGGGAGCAGGTTAGCCTGCAGATAACCCACAGGCCAAAGAGAGTTACGGAGCTGAACCTTTGTCCTCCTACAGTGGGATGTTTTTAAGTTCACAGGTGTAACTTTATTTTGGGTGTCCTTAGACTTGGGGTAGATCTAAAGGGGATCCAGGAGAAATGGGAAGATGATTCTTGTACATCAGAAGCTCATAAACTGAGGTGGAAGGAGAAAAATTTATGCACAAGAAATAACTAAGGCAAAATACAAATCATATAGATTATAAACATTTTTAAAGGGACCTTCAAGATGATATAACCAGTTGTTAAATTTTGGGGTCTGGATGATAATTACTATAGATTTTCAGAGGAAATGGGAGAATTTGAGGCAGCTATAGGAGGTGAAATTTCTTCCAGGCCTCGGGGATGGGTAGGATTTAGAGTGATGTTTGGGAGAGGAAGAGAGGGTAATGCAGGGGAGCCAGCCATGTAGCACAGTGGGTAGATTCAGTTTCAAAAAAATTGCCCTTGACATGTATAATGGTAATACTGCAAGAGCTTAGGAGAGTGCCTATGGTGTGGCTCTGAGTCTTTTACTAAAAACACTATAAATTTTTCATTCCAGTTTTAAAAATGGGTGTACTTGACTTTTATGCTTATAAAATGAGCACATAGTTCTAAATCATCATTATTTATGTCTTTTATGACTATAGTTTGAAAGTGGCTTCTTTACCTCTTTAAATATTTGCAGCAACTAGTTCGTGGTTCCACATGGAAAAACGAGCTGTCATCATGAGAAATGAAGCCAAGAAGGTTGGGATTTCCCTTTTGCTAATAAAATGCTAAGGCTTCTGGAATTTCTTTGTAAATGCCAAATTTTAGTGCCTTGAGTGAAATGGGTGGAGGTTTTGAGGGATGGGAAATGGGCTGAAAGATCTTTGTAACAGATCTTGAGAAATGCCTCTCAAACATGATGGAGGCCTTCAGAGTTTATTTTGTGGGTGTGTGTTTAATTTTATGAAAGATTTGTTCCCAATTAGGTTTTCCGTTGTCATAGGGAAGCAGCGGACGCTCCATTAAAAAAAAAAAAAATCAGAACAGCCAGTTTGAAATGGCTGGCTCCATGAAAAATTGAATTGATGCTGTTTCTTTATGTAGCTGGCGACTAACGATTGCAACTTTCAGCCAAAAAAATCCACACACACGGTGAATCTTGAGGAACCAGACACATCCTGCTCAGACAGGAGTTTGAATCTGTTGCCTGTGGAGAGAACAGCTCTCCTGAAGGTCAGTGATCAACATCTCTGCCAAGGCATTTTTTTCAAGGAGTTTTAGTTACTTACAGTAAGTTTTTACACATACCCAGGTCTCCCTCCCCCACCACACACCCAAAGTTGGAAATATTTAAAACCGAAGCCTCTCTGTTGACAGGGTAGCCTTGGCCAAATCTGTTGTAAAGCTAAGCCTCTTTTTTTCATAGACGTAATTTAAAAATACATCACAGATGACCTTTCTGGGTGGAGGCATGAGACTCTTGTAAACTTCTGGAGAGAAATTGGGTCAGGTTTGTGTCATTCTACATATTTTCCAGGTCTCGTCAGCCCTCCTTAATGGGGAGTCTGCTCGCTGCCTGATTTCACCATGTATTTAGTTTCCCAGGACTGCCTTAAACGCAGACTGAGTGGCTTGAATGACAGCAATGTATTGTCTCATGGCTTGGAGGCGGGAAGTTCCTCATCAAGGTGTTGGTGGGGCTGGTTCCTTGTGTGGGCTGTGAAGGTAAATCTGGTGGCTTGTTGGCAGTCATCTGATTGTCGAAACCTCTCTGCCTTCAGCTTCACACGGCACTCTCCGCCTGTGCATATCTCTGTCGAAAAGTCCCCTTTTTACAAGGCTATAATCAATGCTGTATT